TGGAAGTAAAATATATTATTTTTTTAAATATAAATGTGATAAAATAAGGCGAAAATTTGAAAAACTGTGGTTGATCTCAAAATTTACGGGCTTCTAAAGTAATTTATGCAGAAAGTAATACACCACACCAGTCCCTTGCCTACAAAAACTCTTCATATTTAACATCAAAAAACTTAACTGGACTCCAAACTGAAAATCACACTGACCTACAGTAATTCGGAACTTATAAAAAAAAAACAAAATAACCGGCATGAAATCACCGTCTAACTCAAAAATTTTTATTTCAGTCATAAATGCAACAGTATTGCCACTGATGACCCAAAAGGCATAAATATTCTTGCCTATGAGCATGAATTAAAGCGTTGAAAGCTAGTCCATTCCTCCAAGACGTGGTAAAATTCTCAACTTTAACATTCTGATATCCCGCAGTTTTTCTCTGACACCACAATAATAATGCATCTTTAGCATGTTTCCTTTCACCGGTTTCCTCTTCATCATCGACCTAAAATCATTTGCCGGATAAATGCTCAACCTCAACGAAATGTAGAAAGACAAGTGAAACGAAAACTGGTCATAATTAATTTTCATAACATTAGACTTTTCTCTCTTCAAAAAATATGACAAGAAGTACAGGAATTGAGATGTTGTCTATCTGATAGCGAAGAATAATAGTCCAAATAAGACCAAGAATAAGTCGTTCGTTCTTGTCTAAGATATCTTCCGCTCCAATATTCTCTAGCTAAAACAAGAGTTATAAAGATTTTATAAAAAAAACTCTTTTCCACATCTAAGAATGCTGAAACCCTTTCAAATGCACATAATGTAACAGCACACTACTATTTACTTTTTTATGGTCAAATATGAAAATTAGCTGAACAAAGGTTTTACAAAATCCAGAAACTTCTGAATTTCGTTTGCTCCACTGTTTCAGCTACGTATACGACTACCAAATGATCGTCTCAAGATCTGCCGTTTGAAATTATATTTCAGTTGCGATACTCATTGGAAATTAACTAACATTATGGCCCTATTTTACCGCTTTTACAAGGCAGATAACAAAATTTTGCATTCATTTTTTGAAACCGTTCTAAAATATTAGAAATCATAAAATTCTCAAGCTGGTAATAGAAAACGGTCTTTTTGCTTCATTTTAGTTCCATTCAAGAACAGTACTGAAGGGAACTTCAAGAACAACAAAAATAAACCCACACAAATTGAAATAGAAATAAATTCAGACCTGAATGTTCTTCCTTTTTAAAAAATCCAAAGATTTGTTCAAATTTTCAATTTTTTGAACACGCATTGGACCGCGATTCGGTTTCCCTAGTTTATCACCCGAAATAATTTCTAAGAGTTTCATTAGGATGACACCATCACCGACATCAACAAACAAATCATCAATCTCCATTTTGATCTAAAAAATAATTTAATTCTAACCAGTCCTAAACAACAGTTTTTATAAAATAAATAACACTTGAAAATGCAGATTAAAGTTGAGAAAATTACAGAGCTTAACTTGGTATAAGCATAGTCAGAAGTTTTAAAAAATCGTAACATTGTAAATAGCAAGAAAATAAAACTTATTTTAGACCCATAATTGCATTAAAGCATATTTAAGTAACAGTGTCACACAAATTAAGACATTTCACTTTTTGCAAAAGCTCTCATAGTCACTAGGCTCAGATTACAGTAACATCAACATTTAACAGGGTAACAAAAAGATAGAAAATAACAAAATTATAAAATATTTAAGACAAAAGCTTAATCTTCATCGTCATTACACATGTTCCTCCCACCTAATAGACGTTAATGCATTAATATCTAACTAGTTTCAAAAAAAACTAATAATTTGGCAGTGAAGCAGCAGTATACGAAAATTTCATATCAAAAGAGAAAAAGCCAGTGAAAAGAAAAATCAACCATTATACCCTGTTTAAAAACGAATTGCACCATTTTGTAAAAGTTTTCTTCTGAATATGTACACGTTCATCTTGCAGCTGCTTGATTCGACTTTTCTCGAAATAAGTGGTAGGATCTGTAAGTTCATCGTAATCTTCTGGATGAGGAGCAGAAGGAACGTAAGTATAACCGTTACGGTTGACCTGAGGAACTTGAACCTGCAACTTCTTATCCGTGAATATATTGATAAGTAAACCCAAATATTGTAAAAGTTACTAATTAACCAGCTACATTCAGCTTTCACATAGCTCAGTTTTAAAAATCTGTAGTCCGAGCTAAAAAAATTTATTTTAACATTCAACTAGTAAACTCTAGAATCCGAGCTTTCAAAACTGGAACACAATCTTAAATTCACTCAACTCAAAAAGCATTAAAAAATACTCTACTGCAGCAGTTTTAAGATGCCATTTGCTGATCTTCCTACAAAAAAAATTTACAAATTCCATTAATTCCAAATTCAGAGCAAAAAGACAAGAAGAGAATATTGCTGAGGCGGTACATTCAAAAACTGCGTTTATTAAAGTAGGCATATAAAGTTTTAAGTACAAAAGGTTCTTTTTGAACACATTCTTCAAAAAACCAATTTAGTTATCAATAAAATGCTTAATAGTTTATAAAGAAGGAAAAAGATTTCAAATCGGTCAGTTCTACTGCTTACACTCAAATCGAACGTTCTTTTAAGAGAAAGTTGCAGTCCTCGACAGTTCTAAAAATAACACCAAACCAAAAAAGTATTTGGCTGTACTAGGCAAAAAGTTCCCCGCGATGATCACTGTACGAAAAACGCGGTGAAATTCTGAATAGACCTACTTAAAAATCAAAAAAATTAATGTAACCGACAAGAACCTTTATCTTTAAACAAAATCTTACAAAATTAAAAAGAATAAAATTAAACTTTTTTAACCGAAAAAAAAATATATTTAGAGTAAATCGTAAGGAAAAAAGCACAAGTTTTCGCCCGAAATATAAAAACAAAAAATTTTATACAAATTTAAAAAAAAAGAAAACCAGAAATTCTCACCTTTATTTCGTACTTTGCTGGCATTTTCGAAATACAGTTGTTCTCCGAAACGGATTCAGTTCTCCATGAACCAATTAAATGCCTATCAGCCGGTGAATAGAATGAAGCTGAGGACATAATTTTCAATTATTTTCAATTTAATAAATATCACATGCGATTTTGGTAAACGACGCTTAAAAAGTAGCAGAAAAACACAGACCAATAGCAAATACAAATATCCCTTAGCGTAACGTTTCTTAGAACTATATTACTGTTAGCAGTGATAATATCAGAACCAGTGACGGTATAAAAACTCAAGAAGTTCTTCAGTAGAAAGGACGGATATTATATTAGACGAAATGGAGAGGATAAGTCAATCAATTCAATCAAATGATTTTTTGGTGCTGATAGCAGAATACTACGTTATAGTGTGGCAGTTATCAGGCGAAAAGTAGTAACGCAAAAATGACATAAGTCCACCTAACCTCTACACCGCAAACGAATAGGGAAGACGGGTCAAGGTCCTCCCCGAACACTGCCGTCCTTAGAGAAAAAACACAGAAATCAATCTGCTCACTGCTTGCTATCTGAATCGAGTGTTTTTTGATCAAAAAATTACCACTGAGATAGCCAAAGCCAGCCTAAAGTCCGTTAACCCAACTTTGGCCCAGTACTGAATCAACACTGTCAATCGCCGATTGACCAGAATTACTACAAACCTCCGCTCTTTTAAGCTGTCATTAAATCGTATTTTGCTGTTTATTTGTCGCCCCTCAGTACAACCCTTAATACTGATCCTCCTTAACCGTTATGACTCTTTATTTCTCTTTCTTTTTCACTCATCAAAATGCCAATTAGTTGATCATATTTGTTAATTTGCTAAACGACCAAAAATAAAGCCTTAGACGAAAAAAAAAAAAAAAA